TACGACTATGTCCAATAAAATTGGAGAACCTTCAATAATACTCAAAAATAGTTGTATAACTTCATTGCAAATTGAAGTAGATAATGAACCAGTTATTTTAAAAGAATCGAATGATTTATCGGAAGATTTATTACAAGACACACCTAATTCATTGGATTGTGGAAATTGGCCAATTGTTCGATCTAGCCACTTTGTGGACCATTTAATCAAACTTGGTCCTTTTCAAATTACAAAGGAAAAATACCCTAAAGATAGAAATGGTCGACATTTTTCAAGCATTTATTACAATAGAAAGCTTGCGAATGGAGAAATCTTTTGCCGTAGATGGTTGGTTTATTCAGATTCTAAAAACTCTGTATTTTGTTTTTGCTGTCTACTTTTTGATAATAATTCAAAGTCAAACTTAGTCTCTGATGGTTTCAAGAAATGGAGACATTTAACTAAAACATTGGTAATTCATGAAAACAGCGTCTCTCATATGAAATGTTATCAACAGTGGGTAGGAACTGAAATAAGATTAAAAACTTGAAAAACTTATGATATTGAAGAAATTAAAATTATAGAAAAAGACAGTTTGCGATGGCAAAATCTTCTTCTTCGGCTGATGAATATTACTCTTTACCAAGCTGAAAATAATATGGCTTTTTGAGGGAGTTCGGATAAACTGTTTACGCCTCAAAACGGCAAATTCTTAGGACTAATACAGCTTGCGAAATTTGATCCAGTGATGCAAAAGCATTTAGCACTTGCAATATTAGGTGACACTTCAGACCATTTTTGCGGGAAAAAATATTCAAAATGAGTTAATAGATTTAATGTCTCAAAAGGTTAATGATGAAATAATAAACCGAGTCTTGAAAGCCATTTACTATTCAACCATTGCTAATTGTACACCTGATATTTCTAGAAAAGAACAATTTTCTCTTACTATTCGAATTGTTGACTTGTCATTAGACGTGAGAATGGAAATTAAAGATTACTTTTTAGGATTCTTTTCTGTTTCTGATTCTACAGGCTTAGGACTTACTGAGGTTTTAATCGAGTTGCTAACTAAGCATGGACTTGAAATCTCTAACTGCAGAGGTCAAGGGTATGATAATGGATCAAATATAAAAGAAAAGATTAATGGTGTACAAAAAAGGATTTTAAATCTTAATTCTTTAGCATTATATGTTCCTTGCGGCAACCATAGCTTAAATTTGGTAATAAGTGACTCTGCACGGTCTTCAGTAAAATTTATTGCTTTTTTCGGTATTCTTCAGAGATTGTTTACTTTATTCTCAGCTTCAGTGAGCCGATGGAAAATTTTTATTGATCATGTTAAAATTTTGCATTTAAAAAAACTCTGTGACACGCGGTGGGAAGCAAAAATAAGTAGTGTTAAAGTCGTTCGTTATCAAGTTGGTGATGTACATGACGCTTTGATAGCATTGTCAGAAATTGAAGGATGTAATTCCTGAAACTGAAACATGAAGCGATAACCTAGGAGAGCAATTAAAAGATTTTAGCTTTCTTGTCTCTTTAATTGTCTGGTATGACGTTATTTTTCAAGTCAATATTGTTAGTAAAACTCTTCAAGACAAAGACATGGACATCACTCAATGTGCAAAGTTATTGAAAAGCTGTTGTTCATTTTTAGAAAACTATAGAAAAAGTGGTTTTAAAGATGCAATTATAAAAGCAAAGGATTTGGCTATAGAATTACAAGTGGAGCCTGTTTTTAAACCACTTAAAAGAATAATACGAGTGAAACGCCATTTTGACGACCTACCCCAAGATGGGATTTATTTATTTTCTCCTGAAAAAAATTTAGAAATCGATTTCTTCAATCCTCTTTTAGACACATCTTTAATTTTAATGAGAGAAAAATTTATACAGTTGGAGAATTATTCCGAAGTTTGGGGTTTTTTGTATAATGTCGATAGTTAGCAAAAAAAAGAAGAAATTCTAAAATCATGTTTAGCTCTTCAAAGTAAACTTACCGTAAATCTAAAATCGGACATTAATGGTATTCTCCTTTGCGATGAACTGATGAGCATTAAACCTTTTCTTCCTGAAATGGTCAAGGATAAAATTACTCCTATTATTGTTTTAAACTTTATAAAACAGCACAAAATGCAAGATTTGTATCCAAACACATGGATTGCAATGCGAATTTTGCTAATAATACCTGTCACTGTAGCGAGTGGAGAAAGAAGCTTTCCAAAATGAAACTAAGAAAAATCTGCAGTCAACAATGTCGCAGGTTAGACTTTCAAGTTTAGGAACCCTATCGATTAAAAAGAATATTGCTGAAAATCTTGATTTTTCAACCCTAATCAAAGATTTTGGTGATAAAAAGGCTCATAAGATTAACTTAAAAAATTGTGTAAAACATAAATAAAAAATGTTTCTTTGTATGTAGCGTTTTATTGCAAAGTAATATTTTTGAATTCGATTTGTTATTATTTTCCATGTAATTTACCAGCACGTTTATAAAACTTTCAGGGGCGGCAGGACAAATTTCGCACGAGGATGGCAAAAAGGCTAAGGCCGGCATTGTATATATATATAATATATATATATATACATATATATATATATATATATATATATATATATATATATATATATATATATATATATATATATATATATATATATATATATATATATATATATATATATATATATATATATATATATATATATATATATATATATATATATATATATATATATATATATATATATATATATATATATATATATATATATAGGCTTGGTCGGTAAGTGGGTGCGATCGCACTTGATAACTGACCACGGAAATAATATTTTGATGCGAAAAACTGGCCAGATTTTTGAGTCGTTTTGAAAACATTTAAGTTTATGCATGTTTGTTTCCTTGTTTGACCGCAAAATAATAATGAAGTTTATTATTTTATTGTAAATTTTAAATTTTTTGCTTTACGGACATACATGGAAACATACCAAAACTCGAATGTTCTCTAACATCTTTGTGCAAAAATATAAAAAAAGAATATTCGCAAACACAAAAAGCTGCCAAATCTACAAACAACTAACTCTATTGGTTTAAAAAATAACTGCTAGGAAAAAATCACCCCAAAAAAAATCACTCCGAAATAATCCCCGAGAGAAAATCCCCCTGAGGAAAAATCTCCTTATAAATATTCCTTCCCCCCCCCCCCCCCCCCCTCTAAAAAAAATATTTTTTACTAAAAAAATTTTTATATGTAGCTATGTTTATTTCTGTATTTGTTAAAAATATTTATTTAAAATACTTCATTTTTCATCAAAATGTCAAGTTATGCGCTATTCCGCTAAGGTAGTGACCCAGTGGGCACAGACGTCAATCAAACGTCTTACGGACGTCTTAACTAGGTCGCGACGTCTCAGACCAAATTAGGACGTCCTAAAGACGTCTGGTAAAGACGTCTTTGTTAGGACGTCCTTGTGACGTTAATATAAAGACGATATCAGGACTTAAATATTTAGAGGTCCTATTGACGTCGCTAAGATCTACATAAAACGTCCTAATTACCTTGAAAATAAGTAAAAAAATTAATACTATCAACTTGGCGCATACAATATTATGCGCAAACTCGGTTATTTAAATATGTCTACTTGTTTTGGTTGATTATTTTAAGACTATTATTTTGTTTAGTTATTTATCGTTTAAAGATATTTTTTAATTTTCTATATTCTATACTCTATGATCTATAAACTATAATCGATACAATATTTAAATAAAAGAGTAACTAAGTTACAAGTATAATGAGGGAATTTTAACTAAAGACATCAAAATTGCACCAAGATTTTTCACTTTGTGTTTTATAGTATAGTATTGATATTTTGTGTGTCTGTGTTATATATAAATTATTATATACATAATAATATATATATATATATATATATATATAT